TATTCATGTTTTACTTACTGCCATCTCTTGTCCATGAAGCAGTCAACACTGCATCCACAACATCAGGCTAAGGACTTACATTCGGTGCTCCACGGTTGCCATGCAGGCTTCTTACGATGACTACGCATGTAACACAAAGGAATGGGTTGATCAGACCCACACTAAGGAATCACATATGCAGTAATCGATAAGAATCTACATACAACTATGCAACACACAACATAAATATACATTATCAGAGTTCCCTAACAAAACTGCTCTGATACCATAAAATGTAACAGCCCGTTGTACACCGGTATTGTTAACATTAATTATGATATTAAGCGCAGTTACAATCACATCAATTCATTTATAAAAATGCGAATAAACTTTTTCCGATTATTACGCGAGCATTTAAAACATAAAAAGGCGTAATAATTAAAAGCTGTGACCGTAACTGTAAACTCTTGCGGAAGACTTATTTAAACTATCTTTATAACTTACATTACTTATTATAAGTTACTAAGGGGTTCCCATAAACCCACTTAGCCAATTTCCAAACTTTACGTTTTTACCTATTCGGACATGTTTCACTCTTAATTTTTCTGCGACCACACCGCTCGCAACCAAACTCTCTTCTCAGATTATATCTTTGTCTTACTTAATTCCCTTTTCAACAAGCTATCATACGCTCAATTCAGAGCTCATTAGCTCCGGTTATCGCCGTTTGAAGTTGGATAAACAATTAGCCAAACAACCCCAAAAACAGCTCCAAACCACTCACATTACTCGAATTACTGCACTCAATACATTCAACCATTTGCTCTCAAATTTTTATCCTACAAACTAGACATCTCAAACTTCATTTTGATATATCATACGCTTAATTTGACTGAGAAAAGAAGCGGGAATTAATTTCCCAAATCCGGTCCAGAATCTGCCTCAGGTGCAGGGGCACATGAGCAGTCCGAGTTTCTCTATTTTTTTCAGGCTGAAGATCAACCCAGAATTTTCTCAAATTTTGTCACAAGGTAGAGGACATCTCAAACTTCAAAATGAAATATGTCACGTCCCTATTGGACCTCTATGGAGGGAGACATGCCTTCCCGAAGTTCTCTTAAAATCTGCCAATTCTACAGAAATTTCGCCAGAGTTTCCTTTGTTTTTTCAATAATCCCAAAATTGTAAACGATCATTTAAACCTCAAATGTACCTAATAAACACATGATAATACAATAATAATCCAATGGGTGGCACACACAAGGACCAACAACGCCTTGGGACACTTACAACCCAATCCAGTTTATAGTCATTAGGCATATAATTCATATTAATCATCCTTAAGTAGTTGCAATCACTAACACCTTTTTCATGCACATTTTCATCATACATGTAATCATACCCTAAAATAGGCCTAAGGCCCTTCCATCATCATTAGTCATGCATCAAATATGATTACAATATTGCTTTACAATTTACAACTTGAAACTTAAACTTAAACTTACATTCTTCCAATATTACAACTTAAATTCAAATGACAACATAACCAAATACATAACTACTAGACTTAGGCAAAATGGCGTGAACAAATATGCTAATGAAGCTCATACTACATACATATGAGATGTTCATGCCCTAAGTCTAGCCTAGGCCACACGGCCAACAAAAAACAAAACATGAAGCACTCCAATGCTCACTCTACGGGCCTCTTGCCCGCTGCTCCTGATCCACTGCTACCTCCTGAAATAAATGCCCCGAGACGGGGTGAGATATACGAATATATCTCAGTAACCAAGAGGTTCTGGAGAAAACTCCACCCAATGGTTCACTTCGATGCATATCAATAGAATAAAACAACCACTTTGAAAACGGGATATATAGCAAGGGATTTAGAGAAATGGGGAATATAAAGAAACAAACTACGACGATACGGGATGGTAACCCCAATTCCACGTACGCCCTGGGCATATATAAGCCTATGGGTATCATCCATGGTGCGTTCAAAGAAACCACATCCATGATGCCCAAACCATCCAAAACGCCAAAGGCATTCCTAGTGTGCTCCTACCCGGATCACACACCATGACACGCAGTCAACTGGAACTCCCTCCTGGAGACCTATCCAGCGGAAGTCCGAAACTGCCCGAAGGCTAATAAAACTGTCTACTGGCCAGAGACTCGGTACATAAGTACCCATAGCAATAATGCATGCATGCTCATGTGTTCTATACTATTGATACACACTTCCTACCGTTGCCATCAACTGGCAAGGTGGAACAGAAAAGGGGAACAAGCCCCAGTATCAAGAGGTTACCTGAAATATTGTTTCCACAAGCTCCGCAGCAGCTTATCCCTCAACTTGGTACACATCAGAATGCTTACACAGAGGACATTCCTAATCACTCACAATTCAAATAATACATGCTACTTTAGAATTACACATGCATTGAACCAATTACTTACCTCAATCCACTTTGTCCAAGACCAATGGAAACTCACTGAATCAAGATTCGGGATTCAAGTCAACGTACGGCAACCTATACAATTACGTACATCCATCAGTACGCGTCAAATAGCTTAAAAATGCAAAATCACAAAAATCCTCCCCATCCTCCCTTGATGGTTCGGCCAATGAAGTGTAAATTCGAGATTTATTTTTCTAAATTTTCTTTCTCATTTTGTTACGTCTCATTAGGTTGTCAATAGGCCAATTCAAGTGTCGGTTCATCATTTTTGCGTCGGATTACATCAGAACGCGAAAACCGCAAAATTTCTCCCTTCCTCCTTGAAGGTTCGGCCAAGCATGTGTTAATTGGGGATTTATTTTTCTAAATTTTCTTTCTCATTTTAGTACCCATCCTTGGGTTTCCATAAGGCCATTTCAACTGTCGTTTTGCCGTTTTACGACATCTACGCATCGTATTGCGAAATATTTCACTCTAGGTTCTTTATGCCAACTAAACCACTTATTATTTTTCCATTGATTCTAACACTTGCCAACCACCACACAACCCATCTAGTCATCATATAATCACACAACACATCATTCAAATTATTTTTCAACATCAATTCCTCCATTTTCACAACATAACTAATTTACACAATTTCTCACATTCAAGGTTTTCCATCAATTCTTACAACTCCACACCTCAACCAATTACATTATATCATCATTCAATCATACAACAACTCATTATTAACCTCACAACACATTTTTCCAAAATCACATGTCATGACCACCAAAATTCTTCTAAGTTAAAATTCGACATTTTTCACTTAAAATTTTCATTGCAATTCTAGCTTTAATACATCATTCTAAGACATTATCATCTAATACACATTTTCTAATTGAGCTCTCTAACACAACATATCATCAATCAAAGCTCTAGGTCACAAAATCAAATCATCACCATCAACCGTTTAAAATGCAAGAACACTCACCCAAACGGAAGGTATAAGACTCCTCCTAAGCATACTCCACCATTGGAGCAATTAAAAGCTCCAAGAACACCAAATCTCCCTTCAAAACCGCGGCTGTAATAGGCCAAGATCTCCTCACACACGCGATTTCAAGGTTCAAGTGTGGTACCAATGTGTTTAGGAGGTGTTTTCCAACAAGTTTCAAGACAAAAATCGTTGGATTTGGTTGAGATTTGAGTGAGTTATGATCCAAAGAAAAATTTGCATAAAGAATGGGGGAAAGGGGGGCTGCTGTCGCGGGGAGGAGGAGAGGGAGGAGAGAGAAAGTGTGAAGAAAAGGTGAGTTTGACTCACTTAAGTCACAAGTGGGTCCCACACGCGTTTTATCTTTAATCAATTATCTAATTTCAACCACAAATTCATGACCTACGTATTTTTCTTGTTCATTTCATATTTTTGTTTCCCAAAAATACTGATAAAATTTTCGCGCTTATCGGTACAATTATACCGCAGCATTTTTACACCGGAAAATCACTATTTATCAATTTTTCCCAAAATGACTCAATTCCATCAAATTTCATCAAAATCATATTTCCTAACTCAACAAACCATTTATAACTCATATTTGAAACCTAGAGCTCAAAACTCCATCGGCACGTTTTACGGTGCAATCGTACCGCAGTATTTTTACCCGCGAAAAACACTATTCACTATTTTTCTGAAACTTGCCTATCCACTCAATTTTTCATTCTGAACCCATTTCCAGGGTTATTTTTACCATCTGAGACATTCTACTCAATTTTTATCTTCCTAGGGTTGCGTGTTGACCAATTACCGTTTTGCCCTTTCTTTGTATTTTGGCCTAATCTTTAGGATTTTCACTAATCCATCACTTGATTGCTCACTTAATATTTTAATTACTTGATTTAAAATTGTGAGGAGTTATACCGTTACGTACCGGTATTGTTAATATTGATTATGATATTAAGCGCTGTAACATCCCGCATAATTAGGAACTTATATTAATTATAATTAAGAATGTGAAGCATGCTTGAAATTGGGATTAAATCTATGTATAGAGTGGAATTGATTTAAGTAGGAAAATTATCTTGTTGTCATTATAAGCGAGCATGTGTGAATATTTTAAAAGACTCATGACATTAGTAAAAAGGGGTAGAATTACAATTGATTATGATATAAGTGGGAATTCTAATTACTACCTAGTGGGAATATGAATTAATAATTAATAGGTATATATTTTATGTGATAAGTGGAGCTTTCATGAATTAATAATTAATAGGTATATATTTTATGTGATAAGTGGAGCTTTCATGAATTAATAATTAATAGGTATATATATTTCATGTGATAGGTGAACCTTAGTTATCTCTCTCCAAAAATCTGCATGCATGTAAATTTTATTGGTCAATAAATGGCCACATGCAAATCCCTACACACCTTAGCTCACCACCTCTTGCAACCAATAAGAAGTGAGAAGTTCCCTTGCATGAAATTCTATTGGTCATTGGAAGCCCTCATCACTCTAGCGCCCAATAAGGGCCAAAGGCAATCTGATTATTGTTAAACTTTGTGTACCTTGAATCAGAATTTTGGCCAAACCCAATTACTCCCTGCGCAAAATAGAAAGAGGAAGAAAGGATCTTTTCTCTTCAATTCTTTTGAATCAAATCAGTCTAACATCCCATTCTCCTTCACTCCATGCGCAACATCATCCTCCACACAAGACTGAATATCTCTCTCTCAATTCAGAATGAAACAATATCTCTCTTCCTCTCTTTCAAGACCGTAGACCAGCTAGAGAAGGACCCAAAGTTTGCATGCGAAATTCCTCCTCCCTACCTCTCACAAACCGTGAGCTACATAAGAGAACAACGACCATCCAAGCTTTCATTCCTTCATCTCATGGTCCGGCCGTTTTCCATTGAGCGAGCAGTATAGGATTTTCTCTAGTTTCTGGTCTCTCCTCCATCCCTTCGATTTGATGAAGACCGTCCCTTGCATGCAGCTCAAATCCGTCATCTTGAAGAATGGAAAGGTGAGGATTTTCTCTAGTTTCTGGTCTCTCCTCCATCCCTTCGATTTGATGAAGACCGTCCCTTGCATGCAGCTCAAATCCGTCATCTTGAAGAATGGAAAGGTGAAAGAATTTGTACATCATCTGACCACTGTTTTCCTTGGCCGATTCGTGGACCTGGGTTGTCTTGCAAGTAGAAGTAAGTTGCCTATCAAACCTTTCCTTGTTCTTGTTTGTTCGGCCAGTACATGCATCCAAGAAAGATGTATTTTTCTGTCATTTCTCTAGTAATGATCAAATCGGTTGCTGCATGTGATTTAAGAGAGTTATATTGTGTTAGTTTGCTCCCTGTTTCTGTCCGTGGACTCCCATATAATCGAGTGCCTACACATATAATGAGTCACATGTCAAATCCTTAATCACTCCTTAATTGTTCGGCCACTACATGTATAATAGGAGCATAATCTATGTTGGACAATTTCCCTTCTTTAATGCTGTCATTTTATACAACCATAGGACTTGATGTAGGTGAGACTAAACCGATGTCTTGTGAGCATGGAAATAACTCTATTTAACTTTTGTTGGACTGTTGCTTGAACTAGAAAAATTAAGTGAGTTTTGTATGTGTGGCAAACTGTTGAAGACAGTCGATTAGAAGCTCTTGTTCATGCTTAAGAAACCCGAGTTATAAGTTTGGAAATTGCTCTCTTGATTTTGTTGGGCTGCTTCTTGAACCCAAAAATGTTGATAGGCGTTGCATGTGTTGAGAAATGTGTAGATAGCATGTTTAAAGGTCAGAAAATGAACTTGATCATAGGAGCATAAATTCTAAATAGAACCATGTGATTTGTGAATAAATAAAGTAAAGACATTATGTTTGGTACTTTTGATTAGGCTCATAAAACTCAAGGATGTTGGACGGACTTGAGGCTCTTTTGATTAGAAAGCTAAAATATCAGGTATGTGTTTGGTGGTGAGACCTACTGTGACTATTAGCTAGTGTATGAAATTTTGAACTAATGCTCACATGTGCCTTATGATTCGTATTATGTTATATGTTATATGTTATATGAAATCTGCCTTGGACTTGTCATGATGGAAAATTCTGCCTATGGAAGTATTTGTTATTCGGCAGCTTGGTATTAAATATACAAGAGATATATGATATATGATTATGATCTAGTCACGCATATGCACCTCATGTTTCATCTGTTCGGTTTGTGTGTGTGTCAAGCATGTCATAGCATACATCATTATGCATCCATTCTGGAAGCTGAAGTATATAATAAAAATAAGCATACGTTGTTATCAAAAAAAAAATAAAAAAAAATAAGCATACGTCTGAGCACGCATCATATAGGCATCCCTCCGGTACCAGGGTATGGGACACTTGGCTTCAGTCCGCATAGGTCGCAGTTGGAACCCTCTTGAGGAGCCACTATGGGATCTCCATTGTGCTTGTTAGTACGTGCACGACGGTGCTATGAACGTACCCTTTGGCGTTATATACGCATCTTTATTAATGTTTTGGCGTTATGCACGCAATATGACTAGTACTTTGGCGTTATAACTTATATACGCACTATGATTATATGATAGCATCCGTTCAAAAAATTAAATGTTGATGCAACTGTTTTAGAGTTTTGTACCTAGTCTAATACTGTTGCTGTATTGGTTTTATTGCCACACTACTGGGATTTTTCTCACCCCTTTGGGGTTGCAATTTTTATAAATTGCAGGAGGACTTAGAAGCATTGGAAGAAGTGTTTGATGACATGATTACATGACAATTCTGTTTAAGTTAATCTGTTGACATCCATGTTGTTTGCCCGCTGTCTCTGTTGAGTGTATTCTGATTATTTGACCTTGAGGTAGCATGATGTATATTCTGTTTTAAAAAGAAGTGTAGCACGATGTATATTCTGTTTTGAAAAGAAGTGTAGCATGATGTTTATGATTCCGGTAGTTTAGTTTGCGAAAAGAATTGTTATTGTATTGAAATTCGGATTTTTGAACTGTTTTTGCGAGCACTTTGCGAGTTGTCGTTCTGGGGCTACAGTCCTCCGATTGAGGTATATTTTATATGGATGTAAATCCCCAGTTGTGTACTTTCAGATTATATAAACTTTACAATAAAATTCTGAAATCCCAAATTATAATGATATTTACAAGTTAGGAGGTTTTTGGAGAAATACAATGAATTTTCAAGTACTTTACGAGTTCTGTTTCGTGGGGCTATTCACCTCCGATTCGCGTATAATTTATATGTACGCGAAGCCCCAGATGTCTAGTTTCTATATATCAAGGAATATTTTTGTAAGCTGTTGATTTCGAATTTACATGATTTTTGCAAGACAGGCTGTTTTCAGAAAAATCAGAGTTGCGCAGCGAAAGCCTTTTAAAAATATTTTTGCGGTTCTCACTTTTTCAAAGTCAGTTTTCTAGGCAAGCTTTTATAATACGTTTTTACTGAACAAGAATTCTACTCATTAACAATTCGACTCTAATTCGCTTAGCAGACAACTCCTTTGGACGCGTACAGGGGAGGGTGTCACAAGCGCAGTTACAATCACATCAATTCATTTATAAAAATGCGAGTAAACTTTTCCTGTTTTATTACGCGAGCATTTAAAACAATAATAAATCGTAATAAACAAAAGTTGTGACCGTAACTGAAAACTCTTTACGGAATAATTATTCAAACTACTTACATATCGTATATTGCCTCTCTCAAGTCACTAAGGAGTTCCCATAAACCCACTTAGCCTAAATCTCACATTTACATTTTCTACCTATCCAAACATGGTTCGATCTTTTAATTTCTGCGGATAAACCGCATGCCGCGAACCTCTCATCTTTTAGTATATTATTCTAGACTTAATAACCTTTCTAACGAGCTATCACATGAGTCATAAAGTTCTTGATTGCTCTGGTTATCGTCGTTTGAAGTTGGACAAGCAAATCTTCCAGCCAACCCCAAACGGCACCCAAAACAGCCTTCGCTCTAAAATTTATTCCGGACAAACCACTCTATCAATTTCTCCCAAATTTTTATACAGAAAACTAGACACCTCAAGATTCAATTTGACATATTATTCACCTAATTTGACTAAGAAAGGAAGTAGGAATGAAATCCCCAAAAATTGCCAGAAACAGCCCCTGCACAGGTGCGTTCTGGACAGTCCGTGTTCACAGGATTCAACAAGGCTGCGTGCAACCTAGAAAATTCTTAAATTTTAACACAAGGTAGAGGAAATCGCAAGCTTTAAAACGGAGTATGGAACGTCCCCATTGGACTTCTGTGGAGGGAGATGTGCTCTCCCAAATTTCACCTAAATTCTGCCAATTTCTAGAAATTTCGCCAGAGTTTCCTTTGTTTTTCTAATAAATCCCACCTTTGAAGGTGTGTTATCTAACCTCAATTTTGTATCTAATAATCATGGGTGGCACTCAAGGACCAGTAATTCCTTGGTGCTCTTACAACCCTTCACAATTTATATCATTTGACTTACTTTACAACTCAATCATTTCATTATAAAACCGTAAATCATTTCAATCACATTAATTCCTTTGCATGCATATTCCTTGAAATAAAACATAAATCACATCCTAGAATAGGCCTATTGCCCTTTCATCATATACATGCTTCATATTACATCAAGTCTCCATAATGCAATTACAAGTCTCTTACAAATATTACCACAATTTTTCCAAATATACATAATGTTCCACCAAAATAAATCATGATAAACATAAGCTAAACTTAGACAAAATATGGCATGAACAACGACGATACCATGCATAAGGCTAACTCTACATACAGAGTTCATGCTCTAAGTCTAGCCTAGGCCCAATGGCCACAAAAAGCAAAATCCACCATAATCCACGAGCTCATCCTACGGGCCTCTTGCCCGCCACTCCCACACCGCTGGCACTACCTGAAATAAAGTCCCCGAAGCGGGGTGAGATATATGATATATCTCAGTAACCCAGAGGTTCTGGAGAATACTCCGCCCAATGGCTCACTTCGATGCATATCAACAACATAATATAACATTTAAAACAGGATAAAGCAAGGGATTTAGTGAAGTAGGGAATGATAGGGAATCAAAATACGACGAAGCTGGAATGGTCGATGCCAATACCACGCAACGTCCGGCCTATTGGCCTCGGCACATAGCCTACGAGTTTCAAACCAAGGAGTGTTCCCAGAACATCAACCAAGGTACCCTCCATCCATATACACCCGAGACTTCCTAGTGTGCTCCTCTCCGGCTGACACACCACGACCCCAGGTCAACTGGAACTCCTTCATGGAGACCTATCTAGTGGAAGTCCGTAACGCCCGAAGGCAACTGTCTACTGGTTAGAGACTCGGTACAACCTATGTACCACTATACATACAATATGCATGAACATGTTATACTACATACATTATTTACATACATTTCCTACCATTACCCTCAACGGGCATGGTGGAGCACACACGGAGATCAAATCCCAGTACCAAGGGATTACCTTAATAATCTCCTTGGCTTGATCGCTCCCAACCACAGTATCAACAAACTTAGTTCCACCAGAAATGCCTACACATAGGCCATTTCCAACTCAATATCAACCAACCAATAAATATGCAAGTTTATAACGTATACATGCATAGGTTCAAGAGCACTTACCACAATCCCTTTGGTCCGGGACCAAAGGCAACCCACCAAGCTCACGGTTCAGGGTTCAATTCTGCGGGAGGCAACCTACAATGATCACACAAAGATCATCAATACAAGGTGAATCCACCAAATTCACAAAACATCACAAATCCTCCCCACCAAGGCAAGGTTCGACCATTATAGTGTTATTTTACAAAATATTTTTCTTTATTTTTTTTTAATTTTTCTTTAGCATCCCAAGACTACCACAACACCATTTTAGGTTCCACTTTCAATCCTACACCACCACAACACCATTTTTCCATTTATTCCACTCTAGTCCAATTTCAAAATCCACACAATCCAAATATTTTTCCTTAGATTTTCCATGCATCCACTCCTTACACAACACCTCTAAATACCATTTAACACTACAACACATCAACCACATAATTTCACAACATCAAATCCCCAATTTCCTCACTATGGCCGAAATGTACATGGCCTCCTACCAATGGTTATCCAATCCAATTCAACATTCCCAACCATCATACAATATCACTATATACCCATACAAACACTCAACAACTCAATTACACAATCCCCATACAAACACTCAACAACTCACTATATACCCATATCACTATATACTCATGCTCTAGGTTTTCAAAATTTAGATTCATGAATCAAGCCATAAAAAGGGTTGAAATATACTCATAAGTTATTCTGCGCGCCGTGGGCACGCTTCCCCAAGCACACTAATTTCCATCAATTTTCACCAGAAATTATATTTCCTAGTCCTATGTACCATTTATAACTTATATCCAAACCTAGAGCTCAAAATTCAATTGGCACGCTTTACGGTTCAACTGTACCGCATAATTTTTACCCGGTAAAAACATTATTCATCAAATTTTCATAAACTTGCCTAACCACTCAATTTTTCGTTCTGAATCCATTTCCAGGGTTATTTTTATCGTTTGATACCTCCTACTCTATTTTACTTTCCTAGGGTTACGTGTTTGGCTAATTATCGTTTTACCCTTCCTTTGTATTTTGGCCTTAAATTCAGGATTTTCACTAATCTTACCCTTTAATCCACGTGTAATTTAATATATGTTTTAAAAATGGGAGGTGTTATATGACCAAAAAGCAGCGCGCAATTGTTACAACACTAGCTTGCGAGCCAAGACTGCAGTCCAGCGCGATGGCAAAGGAAAAGCATCGGTCAATATGACCGATTTGGACATGCGAGAAGATCTACGCGATACAAGACCCCTGCCAGATGGGGAATTAGAGGATCTCCAACTGGGTCCGCTACCTGAAAACGTTACCAAAATTGGACGACACCTCCCAGAGATGGAAAAGAAAGAATTGGTGGCAGTATTACTAAAAAATAAAGACCTTTTTGCATGGACAACAGCTGATATGCCAGGAATAGACCCTGATGTAATATGCCACCATCTGACCCTTGATCCAAAAGCCAAACCCTTGATGCAACAGGTGGTTGAGACCGAAGTAACAAAGCTGCTGGATGCAGGAGTTATCAGAGAAATCACTTATTCCACCTGGCTTTCTAATGTCGTGTTAGTCAAAAAAGCCAATGGAAAGTGGCGAATGTGTACCGATTACACAGACCTTAATAAGCATTGCCCAAAGGATTTTTATCCTCTTCCCAGCATTGACAAATTAGTAGATAATTTTGCAGGATATCGAATTCTTTCCTTTATGGATGCGTACTCAGGGTACAATCAAATACCCATGTTTAAACAAGACGAGGAAGCCACAACCTTTATTACTGAAAAGGCTACTTATTGTTATAGTATGATATCGTTCGGCCTTAAAAACGCCGGTGCCACATACCAACGGATGATAAACAAAGTCTTCAGCCAGCAGATTGGCCAGATGCTCGAAGTATACATTGATGACATGATCTTCAAAACAATGACCACCCCATAACACCCTCAAGATTTAGAGCAGGTGTCTCAACAATTGCGCAAATATAGATTACGGCTTAACCCATCCAAATGCGTGTTTGGGGTTCCTGCGGGAAAGTTCTTAGGATTTATGCTAACATACAAAGTCATAGAGGCTAACCCTGACAAATGCAAAGCCGTCCTCAATACAACTAGCCCTCGAAATATTAAGGAGTTGCAACAGTTAACTGGAAGGATAACAGCTCTAACTCGATTCCTTCCAGCATCAGCACAAAAGTCATTACCTATGTTTAAACTGTTGCGTAAACAAACAGATTTTAACTGGACTCCAGAATGCGAAGCAGGATTTACTGCTATTAAAGAACATCTGGCTAAACTCCCAGTCTTAGTGAGTCCTCAACCGGATGAAACCTTGGTCTTATACTTTTCGGTTAGTAACGAGGCCATCAACACGGTATTATTGC